AAATATTAGGGGGGGTCCTCCAGGAGGGCGGTCCTCCAGCACCTACCCCTGATTCCTCAGATTCAAATTCTGAAAGTGACAGTAGTGGACTTAATTCAGAATTTTCAAATAAAGATGAAAGTCCTCCAGGAAGTAGCTCTCCAGGCAATACATCTCCAGGGCATAGTTCCCCGAGTAGTAGTGAGACTGGTTCCTCAGATTCTAGTTCTAAAAGTGATGGCAATGACATTAATTTAGAATTTGCAAATGATGAAGAAAAGGGCCGTTAATTCGTAATAATTGTAGACTCGAGTTACTAGGTAGATGTTCGTCAAACCATTTCTCGCGTAACAGGCTTCGCCACACCTCACGAACCACTGTTACGCTGTTGTGAGCCACACAGACAGACTTGAAACTTTTTGATCATCAATGGAGTAATAGGCTTCGCTAATCCCTTAGCCCAGGGATCTCAAACTCGAGCTATCCGCCGAGCCGCATCTGCATAGGCCACGCGCATTACAAGCTCTTCGGCAAGAAGAGTGAGAGAGACAGATGTAGTGGTGCCTCAGCGACTGACCCGAGCCCGGCCGCACTGCTGTCGCCGCCGGCTGGCTTCCCTCGGCGCTCTGTCGCCGGCCAGTGTGTCTGTCATTGTCTCTCCCAATGGCGCCTCAATGAGTGCGACAAAGACAGACACACACACTGGGCCACCGAGCGAGCGGCGTGTGTCGAGCGACAGACGACGATGGCTGGGTCCAGCTCATCTTCGAGCAACCCGAGCGCGGCTATCGGGGGCTCGGATCCACCCGAACGAAAGAGGTGCGCGGCTCTCGGCGAGCCGCGCTACCGGGCTAGGCGAGCCGCGCTTGGCTCGCGAGCCGCGAGTTTGAGACCCCTGGCTTAGCCAATAGTACTTCTGAAGTTCATTATTTATTGACAAGGTAGATGTACTCCAGACCACGTATCGCGCAACAGGCTTCGCGATATCTCACGAAACACTGTTACGCTTCGCTGCAACGCGCCTGGCATACATCTACCTTGGCCTGCGGCATTAACACCCGAGTCGGGAAGTGCCAAAATGTACATAAAGAGACGGGCCTCCGGCCCGTTACGTCAACGGCCCGTCACTTCGACTGAGAAAGCAGGTTGGTACATTTTTTTTTT